CACACTTTGCTCTCTAAGAAAGAATCATGACAAAAGGGGTGGAGCAAGGCCAGACGAAGAGAGACCGGCATGTGTGGGTCTCAGGGTCTCTAACAGACAACCATAGAGATATTGGCTTTGACTTGGACTGTGATCAGAAGCTCTTGCTGGATTGTGAGTAGTGGAATTGTAAGATACAACATATTTTTATCATCTGCTCCAGGTACTTACTACTAAGTAGCTTGACCATAGTAATTAATAAATAGGTTTAATTTGGTGTATAAAAAGTTGGTAAGATGAAATGAGAGTGTTAAGTGGCATGACCAGTTCATACTCTCCTATTTTAGTATATGTGCTGCCGAAGCGGTCAGAACACATTCTCCTGATGATTAAGGAGCCTCTTAGGGTTCAGTAATGATCATAAATTGCTTGAGTTACAGAATTCCTGGATTTGAGTAATTCTTCTTGACGATCAATACAGTTAGGCTTATTTTGTAGCTCAGATCTTCTGCATTATACCTGCCATGTAACTTAAAATGTTAATATTGTGTAGTCATTTGGAGGCTTTGGTAATTTGCTTATGTTACTCCTTTCATTAGTGTGAATGGTATTCCTTGGTGTCTACTGTGATTTCAAAGTTAGTTTCTGCCCTAGGATCTTCTTTGAGGCACACAATTCTAGTTCAGGTGAAGACAGATTCTCAGAGCATCATATACTGTGTACTCTGCCCACATCTATTCTCTTAAGCATCCCAACATAAGCAGTTCAAATAGTGTTTAGGAGAAAGGTCTCTTTTTTTTGGTACCAAGGATCGAACCTGGGACCTTGCCCTTGCAAGGCAGGCAGCGGAACCACTGAGCTAAATCCCTGGCCCGAAAGGTCTCTTTTTGAAAAGCAGAGTTCATGAGAAACTATTTTAAAAGTTCATGAGAAACTCGTTAAAGACACACTCTCTCTCTCTCTCAGAAATTAGGTCTGAAATGTGACAGGATCAAGGAATGTTGGCCAAGAGTTACCCTGTATTCTCTGTTGCTACTTTTTCTCTAGAACTTCTGGAAAGCTTCATTGAGTAGCTCTGGTTTCTCTAAATAGACTTAGTTTTAAATTTTGTTTAAAAACAACATCCTTGTCTGGAGCTGACCGTAGGCAGTTTTTAGGTATTCTTGGGTCAGGACCTTTCTGTACTTCTCACTGCTGTGGAAGACATTGCCAAAAGGATGCTCTGGCCTTGCCTTGCCTTACATCTTTCCTCTCTTTTGTGTGTGTGTGTGTGTGTGTGTGTGTGTGTGTGTGTGTGTGTGTGTGTGTGTAATATCATAAGACATCTCTTTAATGTGAACACTACTTCATATAATGAGAAACTATTTATATGACCTCACTTCCAGATTGGTTACTTTTTCATCATTTGTCTCCCATGGGCTAAAACAAGTCTTCATCCAGGCAGCTTCATCCAAGTTCTTGTTCTTCTGCATGACTCACCAGGTTCCGTGGGGAGTCAGGGACCTGTCCACTTACCAGGGTGTTTTCTCCAATTAACAACAAGAAAGAATAATGTCCCTTTCCTCTTTTCTTTCTCTAGTGGTTATGCAAAATCCAACTTTATCAGAGCTATATGAATGTTTGTTTTGAAAATTTTAGTGATAAATATCTATATAGGAGCATTTAATTGTCTGCCCGGTTATCCATTGTTAGATTAGCAGAACTGTAACAATAGGTAATACTATGGCTTCTTTGTTGATATCTCTTAATGGTCCGTGAATCTTACACTGCAAGCAGTGATTGGTCTAGAGCAGTGATGGTGAAGCCCTGGCATGAATGCCATTAGACCAGCACTGGTCTAGAGGATTTATAAAGTGGGTACAGTCCCTTCTAATCACAGATTCTGTATTGACAGATTCGCTTATCTACTCATTTATTTATGATCCTCCAGTATTCACAACACTTTCAGTCATCTGTAGACTTGTACATGACAGAAAGTTTGAGCCATCTAGCTTGCCTGTTTCCAGTTGAGGTCAGAATATCCTTTTCATGGCTTACGGTGAAATATTTCCCCCATTTTTATGCTTTTTGTTGGTGATTGTGCTGTTTAAAATATCCCCCAAGCATAGTGCTGCATTGCTGCCCAATGTTTCTTAGAGTAAGAAGGTTGTGATGTATCAGTACATTAGGGAGAAAATAAAGTATATTACATAAGGGATGAGTTATAGTACCATTGTAAGTTCATTGTTAATGAGTCAGTAATATATATTAAATAAATTGTCTACTCAGAAATGCATATAAAAGGTTATGGGTTGATTGGTTGATAAAAATATTGTGACCAGAGGCTTGTAGGAACCATATTTCCCCTAGGAGTAATGATTCAGTATCTACAGATAGTGATTACAACAACTTTATAGTACACAATTACTATAGGAGAATAACTCGTTACCAAGGAGAATAACTAGTTAATTTAAGGGTTTTGTTTTATAGAGATTTTAGGTGTTGGAAATGTTTTATAACTTCCTCTTTCTGAAACTATTATTTCTGCTATGTTGAAATACTTGTATATAGTGTTGTAGTGCAAAATCTGATTTTACTGTAGGTTCTAATCTTTAAAAAGTTAAATGACATTGCTTAACATGTAAAGAAATATATCTTGTGGTTTTTTAGAAATTTCTTCTGGTGACCTTAGAGATTAAATAAAGAAACATTTATAAACATTATCCAGAATATTAATATATACCTGAAGCATATTGAGTGCTCAGTGAATATTTGTTTCAGAGTAATAATCTGAGCACTGAAGTGATTCTGGTTTTAGAAAAGAAGGCGGCAATGTCAGTGTTACAGGATCATATTCTTGTAGGAGTTTAGTCATATGTAGTTATTGTTGACTGAGGTGCGTGAAAGAAGACTCAGTTGGGTGTCATTGTCTGCATGTTGCTTGAAGCTAGCAATCTTGAGACATTTTCTTAATTTCTTTGAACCCCAGTTACCTTGATTGTGATATAAGAAACATTTTCAATTTAAAAATGGTATGCTTTTCTTTTATTGGTATTATTCCTGACCTTGAGTCATTTCCATGTTTATCACATCTAATTTCCAAGAAAAAAAATGCAATTTAATGCAAAATATATTTGCCATTAGATTTTCTTTTATTGAACTCAAGTTCAGTCTCATTAGTTATAAAAATTATATATTTGATCTATCTTAACTTTATGTACTTTTATTGGTAAAAAGAAATAAAAACATCCTTGAAATATACATGGATTTTGTTTTTGGATATAGGATTGTGTTGTTTATGTTTGATATACAGTGTTCTAAGTCATACAAAAAATTTCTTTCTTCTTTCTTTCTTTTTTTTTTTTTCGGTACTGGGGATTGAACTCAGGGACCTTGCGCTTGGGAGGCAGGCGGCAGCACCACTGAGCTAAATCCCCGGCCTACAAAACGTTTTCTTTAAAAAGATGAGAATTAGATTTTTAAAAGCAAAAATGTGTTGTTTGACAAAACTTCATTTATTCATCTTTTTTATGTTGAAGTTTCTAGTTTTATTTTTTAATTTTTTATTAGTACAATAATCTTATTATTAATGAAACACATCTCACCCCTTCCCTTTGCCAGTACCAAATTAATTTATTTATCTTGTAATCCTTATAAAGTTAATTATCATGTCTAGATTAACAACCAGATTGTGATATTTCAAGTTTTAGATAAAGGGTGCTTGTCTTTTTAAAAATGTGGATAATGTGTTGGAATTATTTTAGGTAACATCCAACATGTATCTAGATAATCAACAAAGGGTGCAGTTAAAATGAACACAGTGACAAGATGCTTATCAAATTTCAGGGCCTCTGCTAAAAAAATGTAAAAAATAGGGGCCGGGGATTTAGCTCAGTGGTTCCGGCGCCTGCCTCGAAAGGTCAAGGTTCCGAATTTGATCTCCGGTACCAAAAAAAAAAAAAGTAAAAATAAACATGCTTGTTGTATAAAATTTAAGAAATATGGTAAAGAATTAATTTAAACCATATAATATTATTGCCTAAAATACAGTTTACTTTGAAGCATTGACATCTGGTTTTTATGCAGTTTAAAAATTGTAGTGTAAACAAAAAGAAAAAATGAAAAAAATCATACTGTGGTCATTTAATTTCCCTTTTGCATAATATAATACAAACACGTATGTTTTCACGACTTTTTTTTGGCAAACATCATGTTTAGGGATTATGCTATATATATTCCATCTCATGCATTCTTTTGTCTTGAACATCTGAGTTTTGATTTTTATTTGCATTTACTTTTTTTTTTTTTTGCTTTGTGAATAAAGCTGCAGTAAGCATCCTCTGTATAATTTTTTTTTCTCTGTTTTAGGATTACTTCCTTAGGATAGATTACCAGAAGTGGAATTACTGGGTCAGAGGGTATGAACTTAAGAACTTTTTTCTTTTTTTTAAATAAAAGATTTTGTTTATTTGCTGTCCAGTTGATTTATAGTCACTGTAGAAAAATGAAAATCAGAATGATTATACTTGTTGCCTATCAGAACACTGTGTCTGAACGTAAGATTCTGCAGTCAGAGTATGGGAAGTTTTCAGGGTAAAAAAATCTTTATATACCTGATTCGCTTCTTTATTTCCTGAACTTGACTGAGCAGTGAATATGCTTTCTTCTGCACTTTTTGTAATACACTAATATTTTTTGGAAGTGTTACATAGAATATAGTTTATGAACAACTGATGTAACATTTAAAATTGTTTCATTGGTCAAAGAACTAAATTAAACTATGTAGTTTAGGGCTAAGAATTATTAAAAGGATATTAAAATAAAGCTGTTTATTATATGATTTTGGGGGAAGCCAGAACTTTTACAATTTAAACTTTCTATATTGATTACTAAGAACATGTTAATACCTTGTGAGCATCAAATATCTTTTGTAGTCTCTAATGATAATTAGAATATAGACACATAACCTGAAAGTACAAACCTTGTTTCTGCCTCTCATTTTCCCTGCAGAATGTGAAACCCTTTGCATCTTCTGATAGTCTGGCCAAGGTTCAGGAAGTGGCAAGCTGGCTTTTGGAAATGAATCAGGAATTGCTGTCTGTGGGCAGCAAAAGGCGACGGACAGGAGGCTCTCTGAGAGGTAACCCTTCCTCAAGCCAGGTGGATGAGGAGCAGATGAACCGTGTGGTGGAGGAGGAGCAGCAGCAACAGCCCCTGAGACAACAGGAGGAGGAGCACACTGCAAGGAATGGTGAAGTTGTTGGAGCAGAACCTAGATCTGGAGCCCAGAACGATTCCCAGCAAGGACAAGTGGAAGAAAACAATAATCGGTTTATTTCAGTGGATGAGGACTCCTCAGGAAACCAAGAAGAGCAGGAGGAAGATGAAGAACATGCTGGTGAACAAGATGAGGAGGATGAAGAAGAGGAGGAAATGGACCAGGAAAGTGATGATTTTGACCAATCTGACGACAGTAGCAGAGAGGATGAACATATACATAGTAACAGTGTCACAAACTCCAGTAGTACTGTGGACCTGCCCATTCACCAGCTCTCCTCCCCATTCTATACAAAGACAACAAAAGTGAGTATATGCAGTCTGCTGGTAACTTGAGACACTTCACATCTCTGTTTCAATGCAGTGAAATTTTCCTCGTAGTCTTTGGATTATACTAATTAATATTCACTTGTAAAGTAATAAAATGAACTATTTTTTTGCTTTACAGAAGGTATTAGAAAGTATTACAAATAATATATATATATATCATATTTTAAAAATACTGGTGATGGAACAGTCTTATTACAAATAGAGGAATTCTTGATAATTGTAAATATAAGACATTTCTATAGACATTATCCTAAGCTACAAGTTTTTTCAAGTTTTATAAAAAAAGTAGGCATGAGATCATTTTAAATGTCCCATTTAGAATTGGTAATATTGAATTAGCCTTCCACAGTTTTACTGGCATAATTTCCAAATTTTATTTTTGGGAAGTTTGTTAAACCTTGTGGACAGCTAGATTTATTTATACATCATTCCTTAATGTTGTGTTTACATATGATATTAAAAAATTAGGTTCTTCCTCGCATTGGTTTATTATGTAAAAGCACGTTGAAAACTGTCAAAACTCTGAGAACAAATTTTCCCCCGATCACTAACAGTTTGTTTTTATGGGATGTTAGAAATTCCAGACTCTCCTAATGTTAAGTTGGTGATAATGGTAGCAAAGACTTAGTGTTTATTAAGCACATTCAGTGTGCAAAGACCTGTGATGATAAGGAAACTGAGGTTTCGGAGAGGTCAGCTGCTTCACCCTAACCAAATCATACTGCAAGTGACAAGAGGTTTTACCCTTATGTGCCAGTATAAAAACCCTTTTTCTTTCCATGTGTTATGCTGCCCCCTGTGGTAGAATTTGATATACAATACTAAACAAGATGTTCACAGCTCCTCGTCCTGAGGTTCTCGACTCTGAGGTATGATGGCACTCTAGTACTGTACTGTGTGTGACATTTGAAATAGTCAGATCTACCCTTTAAAGAATAGTGAGTGCCCAGTTAACTACTTTTCTTTGTAGTACTTAACAAAACATTGTTGAAGATATGAGACTCCAAGGATAAAGTAACAGGAAGAAGTGACAACATAAAACAGTGACAGAAGTCACTTTCCAGAACCCATCAGACATGCTTCTTAACCAGAGGTTGTTTGCTGGCTATTTCTCTGAGTTTCACAAGTCTTCTTGCAAATTCTAGAATCCTGTTGCTTCTGTAGATAAGAATGTCTCTTCAATTTTAACTTTGTCAGCAACCTTATATTTCTACAAAATGTTGCTTTCTGAAGAGATAATCAACTCATGTTGAAGAATCTTTGACAGATTATCAGCTTATTTTCTTTCTAAAAAATGTTTTACCAAATAATTGTCTACTGATACGAAAAGCAAATAACATTATCATAAGGTCAGATCAGGTATCCTCCTAATCTTTTCATGAAAAGAGACTTGTTTGGGAACTAATTCTGAGCTTCCATATTTATCCTAGTGCTTTCCTTCTTGGAACTTCATTCTTTACCTAAGATTTACCTGTTTTTCCCCACATACTAATTGTTACATTCCTCCCAGTAACTAGACAGTTTTTATCCATTTGCCTCAAATAAGAAAGGAATGGTTATTGGAACAGGTATTCAAAGTATAGTGTGCCACGTATGTTGGAGCCTAGAAACCTGCGACCCTTCTTGTCTGTAGGCTCTAAACAAGAGAGGAATCAGGTACAAGAATCACAGCCAATCAGAGGATCAAAATTAGTTTTGTTTTGGGTCTGCCATCCTCCCACCACCCTCTAGAACCAGAGCTCCTGGGAAACTTTGTAGGATAATGGGGGAACATCTGAAAGTCCTATGCTGTTGTAGAGCTCTAAAGAATGATGGCCTGAGTAGTGTCCTTGACCTAGTATACTTGCAAGAGAAAGAACTGTTAATTCACATTCTGTTAGGCATAGACGTGTCCAAAGAGCAAAAAATGCTACTTAAAGCTGTTATCCTGAACAACATCCACCCTAAATAGCCATGTCTTGCCTTTGTGAAGGAGGGAAAACTGGAGACATTGACTCAGTTGAGTTTAAGTGTTTGTAAAACTGTGGGGAGGACGGTGGGAGTGGGGAAAGGAGCATTGTGGATGCGACGCATTGTCCCTTGTCATTGTAGAGTGGTGGCTCTTCAGGTCTGAACTTGAGTTCTCATTGCCACTTACTGTTTGACCATAAATCTATAATCTCATTGAATCTGTCTTGCCATCTATAAATGCCTGTGTTTTTGTGAGGATTAAGTGAAGTAAAATATGTACAAGTATGTGCCTGGGAAACTCACGTAGTTAATAAATACAGGCATATGACCTCATTTTGTCTACTTGTCTCCTACCTCTTCAACCCTAATCCCACAAAATATGCTCTCCTCTACAGCAGATAGCAGTCTGTATTTTTCATGACCTTTAGAGTTCAGTTATCACCCTCTAGTGGAAAAAAAATTAAGTAGAAAAAGAAAGAAATATTTTTGGGGGATAGATTTGGTATTGAACCCGTGACCTTCACACTGAGCTACCTCCCCCGCCAAAATGTTAAAGACATACCGAAGCAGGAGAATTGTAAGTTTGAGCTCAGCTTAGGCAATTTATTCTTTTTTTTGAGACAGGGTCTCACTGTGAAGTTCAGGCTGCCTTGAACTCACAGCGATCCTCCTGCCTCAGCCTCTTGAGTACTAGGATTACAGTCATGAGCCACCATGCCCGGCTTAGCTTAGGCAATTTAGAAAAATACTTTTAAAAAGTATATACAGGAGGTTAGGGCCAGGGATTTAGCTCAGTGGTTCCGCTGCCTGCCTCGCAAGTGCAAGGTCCCAAGTTCTATCCCCCATATCAAAAAAAAAAGTATATACAGAAGGTTAAGGAACCTGCTATAATAAGTTGGGGCTATGTTCAATATAAATAAAAATGTGACAAATTTTCAAGCAGATGGTACTCACAGATTTTCTCGGTTGATAGGTAATGTACCATTTTCTTTCATTAGTATTTAATTTCTTTAAACTTTTTCTAATCTTTAGAACTTTTATATATTTAAGTGATTTGGTCGCCAAGATGAATTTTAGCTTGTAATAAATTTCTAATTGTTATTAGTACAGTTTTTAAAATGCTTAATTAATATTATTTTAAACCATAATAGCTCTGTTGGTCATGTTTAAATTTGCCTGATACAGTGCAAGTAATTAAAGATTATTTTAATTATGATTTTTCATTATAAAGAATATTCTTCCTACAGAATGGAGAATTTTAAAACTTGATGTACTTTATATAGATGACAAAATTCTCTGGAATATCCCTGAAGTATTTCAGATAGATTCTTACATGTGTGTACAATTATAATGGCCTAATCTTTTTCAGTGTTGTTTTTGTTGGTGGTAGCGAAGATGGAATGAAGGAAGAGTATAAAGGGGTATATCATGATGGGTTTCATTTTTTAATTTGGTGAATAACTTCAGTGATATTTCTCAGGCTCACATGTTTTGCTTCAGCTTTCAATTCTGGCTATCTGTTGGACATCACCTGAGTGGTCCACTGAAAACTAAAATCACTATTTCTTTCCCTAAGCCAATCTTTAAATTTTTCTCCCAGATTTTTCTTATCTTTGTTAGTATCCATGGTTTGACTTTTTCTTATTATCTTGAATACTTAATGTGCCTTCCTCTGAAGCACTTGCAAGATGAAAATTGGAGGGTCACTTTTAAAATGTTAACTACTTGTACGAGGCTACAATGCCATGTTCTTGACAGTGAGCTAACAATATGAGTGACTGGATTATTTTTAAATGAATTTTTAGGTTTGTATAGATCAATAATTTCAGAACAAATACCTGATGCCCCATTTCCCACTGATAAAGCCAATCCTATATGGACTTTTGAAGTCTTCCAAAATCTTACCATAGTTTCTCTACCCAGTTTTCTCTTTATTTGCTTTGGATGACACCCCACCCCCACCCTACCAGCAAGCCAGATCCTTTAAAACCCAGCCCAAATCACATCTTTACATTGATACTTGATCATCACCCAGAATCCATAGTTTCCATTAGGTTTCTCTGATGGGTTAGGGTATGAATCTATCATTGTAATATTCTATGGAATAGTTTCACTGTCCTAAAAAACATCCTTGGAGTTCTCCCTTTCATTCCTCTCGACCCCAACCCCTAGCAACCACTGATCATTTTACATTTAACTGTTTCCATAATACTCCTTTTACTAGAATGTCAGATAATTGCAATCATATATAGCTTTTTCACATTGGCTTCTTTCACTTAGTAATATGCATTTGAGTTTCATGGCTTGATAGCACATTTCCTTTTAGTACTGAGTAATATTTCATTGCCTGGATGTACCATACTTTGTCCACTCATTTACTGAAGGACATCTTGATTGCTTCCATATCTTGTCAGTTATGAACAAAGCCAATGTGAATATCCTGTACGGAATTTTGTGTAAACATAAGTTTTTAACTTCTTAGGGTAAATGAGAAGGAGTGCGATTGCTGTATTGTCTGGTAATAGTATCTTTATTGTTGTAAGAACCTGCCCAACTGTTTTCCAGTGGCTGTATGAGTTTTACATTTCTGCTGGCAGTGAACTAGAGTTTCTGTTGCTCCACATCCTCACTAGTGTTTGGTGTTGTCAGTGTCTCAGATTTTGACTATTTTACTATGTATGTGGCGTCTTATTATTGTTTTTATTTGTAAATCTCTAATGGCATATGATGGGAAACAACATTTTGTATGCTTACTTGTCATGTAACAGTGAAGTGACTGTTCAGATCTTTTGCCCATTTTTAAATCAGGTTGTTTTCTTACTGTTGAATTTTAAGAGTTCCTTATATATTTTGGATGAATTTTTTTATCAGGTATCTCCTTTGCAAATATTTTCTCCCAGTTGTAGCTCATCTTATTCTATTGGTAATGTCTTTCCAAAGGCATACATTTTTAATTTTAGTGATGCCTGGCTCATCAATTGTTTCTTTCATGGAGAATGCCTTTGGTGTTATATCTAAAATGTTGA